CGAAGTACCTCATAATATAAAACCTCGAAGGAGAATAACATTTAGGCCAATGCTTAGAAATATTTTTGTATACATGGCACAATTTTACAGGAATACATTTTCTATTTACACAACCTTGGGGTGGCCGAGTAGCGTCTTGCGCGCGTTTAAGTCTCCGACAATAACAGACGGCTGTCGCTTAGTCAACACTATAATTATTATTAAAAGCATGTTTTACAGTGGCATATTTGACTCACCTTGCTCTAAGTCGTTCGGATCTCGTCTGGTTCCTGGCGGCGGTATGGTTGGAAGCCGAGCTGCTGGTCGAGAACGACGTAAATCCAGCGGCAGCGGCCGCGGCCGCGTTGGCGGCCGACGCTACAGCCGCGGTCGACGTGGACGTGGTCGTCGTTGTGGTCGTCATAGTTGGCGATGATGCCACAGACGCCGGAAAGACGACTCCGCTGGCTGAAGTCCTGTTGGCGGCCGGGCCGCCGGCGACTACACCGCCAGACCGGACGTGCACAGTCACCGGTAACGGACCGGAAGTACGAACCGCCCTGTAACCGGTCGCGGCCGGCACAGCGGTCAACAACGAGCACGCGGCTGCCAAYAGCAGTGCCGTCGTCATCGCATTCATCGTCATCTTTGGTGGTGGTTTTGGAGGTGCTATTGGAAATACAGTTGGTGACAATCGCCGAGGATCCTAGGCGGATGCGTCTTCCGACGCATACATGTCGTAGAAAAACCACGCAAAATAAACCGAGCCGATAATTTCCCGGGCGAAGAATATGATAAAAATATATTTTTWAAAAACGGGATTCTAACGGGGTAAAAACTCAAATGCTGGCTGACCGGGGGAAACAACGCTGACGACGACGATGACGACGAGTCGAACGCGCGCAATCACGAAAAACGCGAGCGAAACTCGAAAAATTCCAAAAACCGAATTTTTATTTTTTATACGCGTTATTATTATTATTAAATTGCGTAGGTACAGTATTAAAATAAAAAATATTTTATTCACCGTTTTTTATTATTATTAATCGTCTTTAATATTATAATATGCAGCACTTTATTATTATACGTTATCGGCGCACGATAACACGCGGCGGCGGATCGATGATAAGTGGCCGGCGTGCGTTCGTTCGCCAGCGTGCACAGTCGTGTGTTATTGCAGGTGTGTGTCTGTGTGTGTGTGTATTAGTGTGTGCGCGAGTGTTTGTGTGCGTGCATGTGGATATATATTGTGTATGACGATTGTCCGGCGTGCGACTGACGGGTGCCCTCACGCGCGGACCGCACGCACACACGCGCCYGGGCCGCCGACTATAAGCGCGCCGCCAGTGGATATACGGTTTTACTTTCACTGTGCAGCGTCAAATAATATTATTATTATTRTCGTGGTGGTGCGCACGCACAGACGCCGGCCGATCGCGTAGAATATAATATGATTATGATATGATATGATGATGATATTATTATTATTATTATTATTATTAAATCGGTAAGGTTTGTCGTTTTTCGCCAATAACATAGAACAGCTGTTATATACGCGCACAAACTATACCCATTTTGTTAACTATCCCGTTTTTTGGCATTCGTTAGTAGTTTTTTTTTTGAAACTTATGCTCAATGCTCGCATTATGTTTTTGATCGGATACAACTCATTTTTTTCTGTCCGATTTTTACAAAGCCAGTTTTTGTATGACATTTATTTATTTATTTTTATTATTATTAATTAAGACCTTCGCCAACATAGGCCACTGGGCTTCTCAAAAAACAACATTATTGTAAAATACAATATGACCTTATTAAAGATTAACATTTATTATTATTACCCTGGGAATGGTATCATTTATATTGGCAAATTTTGAAAAGCAAAAAATATTAGTTGAGCTATCATATCCCTGCGTAAGCCATTATTCTTTAAAGTACAATTTTTGTCTTTRAAGTGCACATCCTCAAATATAGAATTACAATTACGCACAAAGTAGTTAAAAGGCTCWTGTGATTTACTGTGGAGGTATTTATAAACTACTTATATTATATTATGTTACAAACCATATACCTTTTATTTATTCGGATCTACTAGAGAATAGAAACGGTATACAAGCATCACCCAACGTTGCTATCTTCTATTCCTCACTCCTTAGCTTGTAAGTAATTTTGTTAGCTGCAGGGCCTATGAGCTTGGGTATTCTCCCTGTGGTCATAAAATAAAATGTTGTGTCGCTAATAAATAATTTCTCAATAGTAAATATTATGTATAAATTAAAAACAACCAATAATCATGGTTATGATACAACAAAAAGGTATGTAAATCATGGTATATAAAAAATAAAAAATGAATTTTTCGTAATTATAAATGAATCTAATATATATATATATATATATATGACATTAAAGTCAAATATTATGTACCTAATAGATACCATTTATAATTATATTTTTCGTAAATTAAATTATCTCAATATCTGACGATTTTGTATTCCCTAAAGAGTGCTAGCAATAGCACTTAACAGTATATATTTCACTGAATACCAGTAARTATAAAATACACGGGAATACAATTCTCAGCGTACATTGCCTGCTGTAGAGACATTAATTACTTATAACAGTTATAACTAATATAAGTTACAGCTGGTATGATAAGGTATTTTATGTTACGTATGTCAGCGTCGAAATGAAAATGAAATAATAGTAATGCTAGTAATTTCCAAACATAATTTGGTTCATTAAGGTGATTTTTATTTTTTAACTTGTAGTATAGGTATTATTGTATATTTGATTTACTCGTTAAAAATATTTTAATCGTCTCTTGTTTTTAATTGTAAATATATTATAATGATKAAATAAATAAATATGATCATAATAACTTGAATTTCATTCTATATCGTGCGCGTGCATGAATGAGGTCAAGAAAGTTTAAACTTTCACGCCTTTTGATTAATTTTTTTTACTCTTTTTTAGCTTTTAGACGGTGACTATATGAACTTATATTGTAATATAATATTAAAATATAACATCAAAACATATTATTATCAAGAACTAATTAGCGGTGGAAGATTCACATCGTTTTTCCCGACATCACGTACCACACTACCACTAATATCTAACCTATTTATTTTTTGAATGGTATATTATTTTTAATAGTGTCTTATACAAAATAAATAATTGTTTAAGACCATATTCAACAAATAAATCCTTAAATCCAAAACATTAATGTTTTTATGTACAACTAATTGAATTACAACTGTGACTTTAAATGTTTATTTTTACAATTTTATAGAATAAAAATATTTTCCATATTTTTGTAAAAAAAAATATATTATATATGAAAAAGTATAAATTATACCATAATACTTTTTTTTATTATTATTTAAAATACGTCTACAATCTATACAAATGTTTGTACAATAATTAGATTTGATAAAAAAAAGAGAAGAGAATATAAAATGACGGCGAATATTAAGATTGAGAAGTTATCCATTGATATACCATAATACTTATAAGTATAAAAACGTAATAAAGATCGACATTGAAATTGCATATACAAAACGCCGTTCTATTTAAATAGTTAACGTGCGAATACCTACCTACTTCATTTTAATGAAAAAAATTTAATTTCATACTATACTATTATAAGTACAATAAACACCTCTACTTAGTTAAATGGAAAATGAAAAATGGTATGGAAATATTGCTAACTCATATCCCTAATCATGWGTTTACGTTACCTACTGCAGATAAATAAAAATGTATTTATCTTTTARCCACCTCTGCTTCAAACGAGGAACCCGATGTTTTTCTCAATAATAATAATTACTGGTGATGTATTTCCAAATTCTGGGACAGAAATATTTTTTGTGTAAAGGAGGTGCCAAAGTTCTATGAAAATTTAAAAAAAAAATAAAAATCATTATGGGTGTCYACAGGTCCGCTTTTGATTACATACAAGTATCAATGWACTCACATTGCAGCCTAAATGGAAACTTTGTCAGTTTGTAATTTACTTAATGCGTACTTACACTGAAAAGAGCTAACTATGAGTTTGTCAACAAAACTAAATTATCAAATTATTTATCAAAAGCTAGTTCGTATATTCTACGAAAGTGGTCAAATTTTAAACTTAACATCTAATTGAATACAAACCCCGAAAAGGGAATCAATGATCTCCTAAATATATATAGTTACTGCAGACTATCTCTTAAAATACATACGTCATCATACAAAGAATACTACTTGATACTTTTACATACTGGCTAGAAATGCTAAGTTAGAGACAATAGTTCTAGTCTAAAAAAATCTCCCATAAATTTATTCAACAAATGGATAAACAGCATGTTAAGTTTTTGTTTCAAACTCAACTGAACATGTCTGGYCGCTTAAGCAAATCCTAACGCCTATACTCAAAAAACTGAAGACTYGTTCAATCCCAGGCGTGGCATGATCTRAACTGGATGTTCTTGAWTTTTTTAATACTTGGCGTGAACGACCACGTTTCCTTTGTATTTAATTATATAATACGAGTAATGYGTAGTGAATCACAAGCTTTGACTAAACTGAACACCTACACCTTCAGTTAAGTTTGAATCAGACATTAACGTGTGTACGTTCTTTAATTAAGTAGTACATTTTCCACCCTCTCGATCATTAACTCGCTATCCAATTAAATTACAGTTGACAAAAGATRTCTCGATGTAAAAAATAAAATAAAATTTAAACAATTCAACATTTGCCTTAACCTACTTTATGATTATACTGAAATCGAAAATTGACTTAACTAACAAAACGCAAATATAAAAGTCCGTAATCAGGCCTGTCTGCTCTTATGTGTACAAGGATCCAAATATGGGGATTTGCAAAACCTTCGAACGTCAGACCACTACTGCAAACCTTTCAAGCAAATAAGGCTTATTATACCGGTACTTCATGGTATGAAACAATRATAATTTTCTATGCATAACGACATTCACTTATTAACGTTTTGAAAAAATTGTCCAATGTGTAGGAACGGTTAATTGGATCATTCATAGACCATATATGTTGTAAAAAGTTAACCAAAAATTCAAGTATATATAGTTCGTTCGTCTTGGAGCGTATTTATGAGTAATTTAGACAAAAAGTAGACAAAAAAAATATATCTAAAAAGTTAATTTAAAATGAATAATAAATGTGTAATACATTTTTAATATRTATTATTACCCTAAAATCTTAATAATAAACGAAATATTGTATTTATTTACACTTTACACAATATTATATCAAGTTATTAAGTACCTATCATACTTTAAATAAAAAATTTTTTAATAATGGCAAATTGTTTTTATCTAGCAATACCGTTTTTTCATTCATATTAACTGTACGTAGATAACAAACTACCTATCTAACATTGAAGAATTAACACTTTAAACGTGAAATCGTAGATAGTATTTTAAACTAATATTGGAGTGAAATTACTTATTATCAAACTTAAATGTACGAACATTACTTGTGTTCATATCTATGTTTATAAGTGTATTGCGAKCATTTTCAAATATTAATATTTTACATATTATGTACTCTTTTTTCACTTAAAAATTAAAATATCGTAAAAAAACAACAAGAAAACACAGGTAATGCCATTTAATTACGCATACCAGCTATTACGAATTCTAAATGTTAAATTTTCTATTATCTAATCAATAAGTTTAACAACCTTGTATGTCAGAAACACTTTATACATAAAAAAAAGAAAAGAAAAAGATAATGTCCTTATATTTAAATTTGATAACAGATCAATTTACTCTAATATTTAAGCACAAAATATAGGAACATTAATTTAGGTACTATGCGTTACTATAAGAGACAACTTGCACATGCGGGTACGATGTCTGAATGTCTATTTCAATAACTATAATATGATATGTAATCTAAATTTAATTTAAAAAAAAAATCTTTACCTATGAACATAGACTTACGAAGATCATGAAAAAATTAGTTCCTAGATTTACTGTGTGGTAAAT